GACGTATTGCTTATGAATGGGCGTCGCCATCTTTCGGAGCAGTAATCGCGCCCGGGTTGCATGATCCAGCATTTTGCCGTCGATTCTAAACGCGTATTCAAAGCGGAGTTATAGGTGAACTCCGTGATACTGGAAGGCAATGACTCAAAACTCGGCTCCAGTACGAGCTTCTCATTCTGAGCAATGAGGTGCTGTTGACCCAGTGCTGTGCCGAGGATGGTCTGGCCTCCTTCCTTGGAGACGGACATCGTGAATTCGAATTATCCTCGTCGCCAAATATGTTATATCTTCAGAAAGCCAGGTCTGGATATAAGTTTACTGCGGTGTCTGAGCCGGGCAAAGCAAACATTCACATTTCGAGACGATACAACATAACATCACAAGTGACAAAATGATGGGTTTATATACTCGATGATCGGCGCGTTGTACATGGCGATCTCATGTATGGCTGCGGGCGAAGCCTTTCATTCGGTTAACACCGGGATGAGCGTGGTGTAGCTGGCGAGGGAAGGAGGCTTGAAGCTGTGCCGAAATAACCACTCTTTCTCCATACATCAGACAACCATCAGCTAGAGACAACGAATCCTTGCGGTTGAAAAATTGTTTGAGACGAAGGTGATTAATGGTCTTAGGCCATTTCGATTGAGTCGATTTGATGACTTGTTGAAGAATAGGATCAGCCTTAGTTTGTTGGCGGATTTTGTCAGCTGTGACTAGGAGCGTTCAGGTAGCATCTGAGAGAACTTGCTGGACTTCTGCCTCAATCGCTTCGGTTGTGGCAATGACAGCTTTTTCATCAGGCGATTCCTCGGCTCGCTTTGAGATGAGACGAGACAAAGCATCGACTTGGCCGAATCTAGAGGTATTGCGGTACTGGATGTCAAAGTTGTAGCCGAGAAGGACGGTAGACCAAACGCTGGAGACGGTTGGCAGCGTAGATTGGAACACCTTTTTTTGCACCAAAAATGGCAAGCAAAGGTTTGTGATCGGTGAAGAGCGTGAATTTTCTACCATGGATTATTTTGTCGAACTTCCTAATGGCGAAAATCAGGGCAAGGCCTTCTTTTTCGATCTGACTGTAATTCTTCTCGGCTGGGGATAGTGATCTGGAAGCATGATAGATCGCTTTCTCGGTACCGTCCGGGAAGCGATGAGAAACAACAGCTCCAATACCATGATTGGAAGCGTCCGCTGCTACAACAACTGGAAAGCGCGGGTCAGATTGGAGAATTGATCTGATTTCGGCAAAAGCCTTCTGGCATTGTGTAGACTAAACGAATTTGACTTCTTTTCGAAGAAGGTTGTCGAAGGGTTCACGGGGATCGCTAAGTTCCTTGATGAAGGCACTGTCATAGTATTCAGGTATTCAGTGTTTTAAGTAATTTCACGAATTTTAAACATTTTTTTCGCTGACTGAGCGCTAACCAGTTGTTGATTTTGAAAAGCTAAAATGTCAGCTGTTTTTTAGACAACCTAAGTCTTGCTTTGCATTTCATTTTACAGACAGTCCCTGTTTCAAAGCAATGTCTGCCCATAATTTTGCCAGATGCAAATGGAAGAAATCACATTGAGTGTGGACCTGTTTATAATCTGGCTGCTTTTCCCGACTGGGTAAACGTTCGATGTCCGGTATGCAATTCACATGCCAAACGCGAGACAGACACGTTGGATACGTTCTTCGATTCGTCTTGGTACTTTTTGCGTTACCTCGATGCTCATAATCGTGAACGGCCGTTTGACCCATCGAAGGTTGAAGAATATATGCCCGTGGACGTTTATGTTGGGGGTAAAGAACACGGTGAGTGTTGGTGGCTCTAACTAGTTATATTGTAAAGAAATCGACTTTCTTAGCAACCCTACATTTGTACTACGCGCGATTCATGAATCACTTCCTCCATCGTCTCGGATGGGTACGACAAAAGGAACCGTTCGCTCGGTTTCTGGCCCAAGGCATGGTGATGAACAAAGCGTACCAGATCGCTGAAACCGCTCAGTACATTCCGGAAGAACGGGTGAAGAAAGATGGTATGTTCCAACTACTGAAGAGTTCGTAATTGGTGTTTCTGCTTGCTGATAGCAGAAGTAGCGCATTCTGCTTTATTGAACCAACAACGCACTTATCATTTTGCGTATTTTGAACTATTTAGCCGTAATTTTTTCTAATAGTTGTAGGCGCAAATTAGAGATAGTCCATACTTTATTTTGAAGGCTACTTTACAGCATTTTTTCAGCGTTATGCGCTTGCGCTGTGCGTCTGTAAGTTAGAAAAGGAGACATTCAGACGTAAGATATCTCATCATTTAGCTGTCTGCGCGCACTTGTGCTACAGAGCAATGGCAGCTTCTATCTGTCACACGTGTTATGTTCTGTTTGTATGAGTTTGTAACCGAAAACTAAAGGATACATGTCATTAACGTCATGCGAGGTTATTTCTGAAGTTTTCTGCGATTTTTCGAACCTGCATGGTGCCTTTTTCCTTTGCAGTTCAGCATTTTTTGACGAAAATTTCATGCTCTAAGCACAAATGAAGGTCTCCTATGAAAAGTATGCTAAGCTCAAGATATTTTGTAAAATATCTTGCCCAGCACTGGTCAGATCAACTGCCTCGAGTACAGGTATGAGAATCCGACTGGGTAAAGTGAGACTTTAGTAGTTTTGCAGCTCAATGCTGCATGATTTGGTGTTATTTATTTTATTTGACAGCAGAACAGCCACACGATACCTACCTATATGTTAATACTATACAGATTAGTAAATGTGGAGGTATGAAACCTGAAGGTTACTGCCGAAATTTTGCTGTGGAATTCACTTATTATATATTTCTTACATAATGTTGGAACCTCAGTCCTCCGGCATATAAGTTCTTTTTCTCTGATCAGTGAGACATTGGCTCATTAAGACCGTGGTCTTTCTGAACGAACTCACACTGCGCTGTATCTGAGTTGACTAGAGAATAGTCTGAATCTACTTTGCTGCTAAGAATATGATTTAGTGAATGACTGGAATCGTTAAGTACCGTATGGCTATCCATCCCATAGGACTAGATATTCGGTGGTATCGTAGATTCATTGTTAGGGTTCGTCATCGCATACACGGTACGATGCTCCACGGGTGATTAATGTCCGACTTACCGGCAATGAACATGGCAGCTGCGAAAGTGCAAGATTTGGCGGACACCTCG